AACGCCACACCACTCAGTGGTCATCTCGGTCGTGAGAAAACGTACAACTTTGTGAGTCTTCCCAGCTGTCGAGCACTCGCTCAAAAAGTTCACATCGTCTTCATACAATACTAACATATTCACATCGATGCTTGCTATCCCACTGTCCAGGACCCACAAGACTTGATAAGTGCTATTTGCACGTGAAGAACTAAAAGTATCATATTCTAACCCCCGTAATTTTAAATTCTACTCCTTGGAGTACTAAGCAGAGTCTGTTTTTCTGTATACATCGATAGGTGCCAAATCGATCTACTTATTGAGTCAGGAATTATTTTGAGTAATATAAAAAAGGCTCCTCTAAAGCGCTTGGTGGAAATAGAATCGACACAAAATTTTTGCCAAGATCAGTTAAAGAATTGCACATTATCAAAAACTGCTGTCGTTCCGACTTCGAATGAGTCACCATAAGTCACCCACTCATTAGCGTTTTTTAAGTTGTTGCCTAAGTCGTTGTGGAACTCTCAAAATTTCTCAGTACACATTTCTCTCGTAATAAAACTATCATTTGCATGCTTGATATTGTAGTTACTATCACTAAATAGGAGAGTTTATATCTTTAAATCATTTTTGTGAAAATTTTAGCACTGTTGATCTCCTGTCACATAAATCAGGTGATTATGGTAAGAAGCAGGATTGGAGGTATCATATGTTGACGTGCGTACTCAGCTTAGAACATAAAGAGAGCTGATGGGTTGGCTCGCTCATCCACAAATGCTTTCAGCTGGCAGAACTGGTTTAATGCTGTAGCCTACATGTCATTATCGAGAATGGGAACTTGAAGCTTTCTCCGTTTAGAAATTGCGACGTGTCAATAAATTAGATTGTGACGGCAGCTGCGGTGACTACATGGACAACTCAATTTTAAAGCAAGGTGAGAATACGCAATCACAACAAATTCGGGGAATGATGCAGACACCGACTTGGATTGATTTCGCAGCACTGCTTTTGAATGGATGCATGCTCTTGTTTGGCTGGCTATACTTGCGTGTTGAGTGGTGATTTTGGCAATCACAGCATGAAGTTGACGTATCATTAGACAGTGACGATTTAAAGCTCAATGTGTAGCTACTCGCCTTCAAGACCAAAAACTAAAATATTTAAATATTCAAGCTCAGTAATAGTAACAGAATGAATGCGGTGGTGACAATCGTCGAGTGAATGTTGTAAGACAAATTGAAATATGTTCGTTCATCCAAGAGCCCTACACTGTGTATGTGCAATATATTGTATATATTTAACTATACAGTACAATTTCGTATTACGTCAAATTTTTGCTTCTAGAATAATGTGTGCTCGGTCGGTCGGGATTCGGTCCGGAGAACCTTCCAGAAGTCCGATTGATTTGAAATTTGTAAGGCAAACCAAAACTTCCGCAATCTTGAAACGTGTGTTCCACACAACCCCCGATTCCTCTCCCCCACTTCCTCAGCCAGCCAGTTTAAAACCCGCACAGCTTGACCAGTATAGCAGGGAGAAAGAAATCTGCAAGCCTGCCAGATTAACATACACACATAGACTTATAACATGTTCGGCGGTGGATTTGAAAGCTTTTTTGGCGGCGGTTTCGAGGGAGGACCTAGTGGGCAATCCAAGCCTGTTGATAACAACAAATTTTACGAGGCTCTTGGTGTTAGCAAAACAGCATCAGCTGCCGAGATCAAAAAAGCATACCGCAAGTTAGCGCTAAAGAATCATCCAGACAAAGGTGGCGATCCAGAGCTCTTTAAAACGATAACGGTCGCTTATGAGGTGCTCAGTGACCCAGAGAAACGTGAGCTGTACGATCAGTATGGAGAAGAGGGGCTACAAAATGGAGCTGGGGGTGCCGATGCAAGCGATCTATTTAGTCAATTCTTTCGTGGCCAGGGTGGGCGTAAATCTCGTGGTCCACAGAAGGGCGAAGATCTTACACACCCACTTAAAGTATCACTCGAAGATCTGTACAATGGTAAAACTGTGAAGCTGGCTGTGAACCGCGATGTGCTTTGTAGTCGTTGTGAAGGTCGCGGTGGTGCAGAAGGATCTGAAAAGACATGTGACACCTGTCAAGGTCGCGGCATGCGAGTACAATTGCGTCACATCGCTCCTGGTATGGTTCAACAGATGCAAAGTGTTTGCCCAGACTGTCGCGGACAGGGCAAGAGCATTCGTGAGAGCGATCGCTGCAAGGGATGTAAGGGCAAAAAGGTCACAAAGGAGCGGAAGGTGCTTGAAGTGCACATTGAAAAGGGAATGCGAAACGGACAGCGCATTACATTTGCAGGTGAGGCAGACCAGGCTCCTGGTACAGTGCCTGGAGATATCATTTTTGTGGTGCAAGAAAAGGAGCATCCTACGTTCCAGCGAAAGGGTGGCAACCTTATCATGGAGAAAAAAATTAGCTTGGTGGAAGCTCTATGTGGATTTGAAATGATTGTGGAGCATTTGGACGGTCGTCATTTACACATTAAGACGCGGCCTGGCGAGATTATCAAGCCTAATCAGTTCAAGGCTGTGCATGGTGAAGGAATGCCCACACATGGTAATCCGTTTGTGAAAGGTCAACTGGTCATTTTGTTCAAGGTGATGTTCCCAGAGAGTGGTAGTTTGTCGGAGAAGCAACTCAGTATACTTAAGAGTACGTTGCCCGCGCCTACACCCTTGGCAACCATGGTCGAATCGGAGGAGTGTTTCTTGTCAGAGTTCGACGCTGAGGCTGCTAAAGCTGAACAGCAGCAGCGTGAAGCTTACGACTCGGATGAGGAACGTGGCGGTCAACGCGTGCAGTGTCAGCAGCAGTAGGTGTTTTACTTTGGTGCAGGTGAGGTTAGACTCGGCGTGCAACGGATTTATCTAGTGGATCCTTCTTAGCATTGCACTTACATTAAGAAGAAAAACGAGAAATAAGCCAAAAAACAAAGTTTTACTTCATTATTACACCTGGTCTGCCTAGCTCCTTAACTCATATAAACAATTGTTAGTGGCCTTATCCATGATGTTTTGACAACAAACAGAACAGAGATGGAACCCCCAAGTGCACTCATTGTATTAGTCCATTGTGAGCAGATCGGTTGTACTCGAGACGATAAAAGACGTTACATCTACAGAATTTCTTAATTCATCTCACTTTAAAGTCCTTGAGATCCATCACGGTAGATAAGACAAGCCACGACTTGGAAACGCGTACGGAGCCTCACAATCAAGTAGCTTACTCGTCAACAGTGTCGTTCTGAAGGCCCTTAAATGAAGCAACCTGTACATGCTGCACAAGCGTATATAGCTTCTCCTTCGCATCCTCATCATCGTTACGCTTGCGTGAGAGACGCACGCGTACACGGTAGGGCACATTACGCACACCCTTGGACCAGATGAACTTGTTGAGCTTCGAATCAATACGCACGTCCTGGGTCTTCATGGCTACCTGAGCAAATTTTTTGATAGCACGTACAGCACGGGCCGCTTTCTTCTTGAATACGCTATATAGTCAAATTTGGAATCGCATTGAAGACAACAGCACAACAGAGGAAAAGTCAAGGAAGTCTTCAAGGTGGGAGCTACGGCGAACCGAGTGCGAAATATGCAACATAAAAAATAAATGAATGTATAAAAGGATACCATCCGTGAAGACGCTTGTGCAAATTAATGGTGTAGTCACGGGCGACCACGTCCGGAGAGCGCTTGGTGTTGCGAGGCTTGATTTCCTTGACCATGTTGGGTGTTCCTGAAGGGCTATCTATTCCCAAATGTTTTACCTTGGCGGTTGGCGGCTAAGGGAGAAGGCTAGCCATCCGATGCTGAGGGGTTACCGGTATTTTCTGAATCACTTCTGAGTATTGAATCTAAAATATGGGTCATGCTCCTTAATTATGAGTATCAGACTTTTGTATAGATTATAGTCTATAGCAGGAAGCCAATGTGATGGCGATTAAATAGAGAGGGACCAATCCAACAGAGCAGAAAAAAGGCTTGAGCGGTTGTTAATTTAGCCCCTAAAGGTTTGCAATTTGAAGCACCGGAGCGTTCTCCCCAGAATGCTTTATCGCTCCAGCTTTTCCTAAATGTTCGCTCAATCTTGACAATATCACAATCACCATACAGTAATTTTCTAATAATCCCTCGCCCACAAAGGGCGTAGCAACTCAACCATCGCCCATTTTACAATGGATAGCCACACCTTCCGTTGCATATTTGAGCACCAACTAGGTTCTAAAACAATATTGAGTTCGATCGGAAATTTAAGCCGGCCGGTGTGAGCCACTCAATGTGCACCGAACAGATTTTTTCTTGAAAAAACTGTTTTCATCCTGAGCTCGAGCTCAGTGATTCGTTGAATGTGGCATCAACTGAGAGATTCAACCTCTCGACAAAGGTCAGATCTAGCAGTGGCTCAAAACTTACTCCGCAAGATCTAGTTAACTACTAGTGAAAAATTGACAACTCTACTAAAAAAGCAAAAGTAGTCTAACAGCGAGAATTTTAAGTGATTTCTTGCTCGTTTCAGAATGATATGACTCTGGAAGAGGCTGTCAATCTTTAAGAAAACAACAATTGCTCTCAATAAGTCGCTAAGCCGTCTCACGACCTCTTTAATTATTGACAGCTTGTACGCCTTAACTGTTTGGCGCTTTCGAAGACTGGCTCACGCATCACAGCTTCACACAAAAGACTATAAGCTCAAAAGGTGCAATTCAAATTGAAAGGTTCATTAATTTAAAGCTTCTTCCCGGTAAACAAGAATCTTAGACGCAGCAGTCTTGTCTTTCATAATATTGCAACTTGGTTACCTTGGCACCATTCACTGAGAAAGCTTTGAAATTTGCTCATATGAAGGTACAGAGGTTTAGCTCAAAGACATTATTTGCATCGAAACAAAGATCCTTGAAGTACCAATCGTTTATTCGACACGGTTCCGATTCAGGTATAGCATGTCAAGAAAGCCGGAAAACATGTACCCTCTTCAATAATAAAACTTTAATTTTTGCTCTGACTTGAGGCGAACAGCCATGGATTGCACTTTCACAAAGGAAATTTTTAATCATTGAATTGACGCACAGACGATGGGTCCGTACGCTCCACCTCCGAGAGCTTCTAGATAAACTCGATTTTCCATTTGATTTCTATTCGTGAGTAACATGTATGTCAAACTCAAACTAGTACTACATAGATTTGTTGATGTTGTGCTCAACGTTGATTATATAAATTGCTTGACGTGAGGCTAACAGCTTATTTGCAATATCCCATCCTTCTTATCAATACCAGTACTTCGGGACTTGTGAACTATGCACACCAATGTGATATGTGTGAACACCATATTGCCTACGCCTCTTGAGCTACACCAATGCTCACAATCATTTAAATATTGCGCAAAGTGAACGCATAACGGGCACCGGGGCTGTCGTCTTAAAGGAAGCTAAGCGAAGGTCACCAACCTAACGTTCTTTACAAAAACCAGTACGAGTGCCGTGGATCGCAATTCGCTGCCTCCGAGAGTACTTAAGACCTTAACCAAGGTAAAGAGACTATTCCTCGACCACTATACAAGATGAGTTTGATCAGCAAAAAGCTCTCCGAGCTCGCTTCTTGGTACCCCAGAAGTCCCAATGGATCGGTACCGTGCTCGACTTCGAGCTAAAAAAAGAAGCGCTCCTGTACCCGGAATATGGGCTATTTCTGTGGTACTCGTCCCTGACAAGACCGCTGCGGATGATGAGCAGCTCTTATAGCGATGGGTGCAGCGGCACCAGAAACTTTCCTCGCTGTCTACCTTACAGCGAAGCCACAAGGAAGTGGACGGGCACGTGCGCGTTGAGCGCCATCTCCGATCTGAGTTTACCAAACTCAAAGCGCAGTGCCTTCTTCCTGCATTTGTCGCCCTGAGACACACTAATTTATCCATCACGCTCTTGTGATCTCTGTGGTTTCTCACACAGGTGAGTCCACGACAACAGCAGCTCAAAGTCATAGCTTGAGCTGCGATGCCACAATTCTTATCAAGACGAGTCGATGACGACTTGGTCGATCGTCTTCCGGTGACTCAGGGTGCTCTTCGAGCGTTGAAGGACAAAGTCCGTCGTTTTCGGCACTCTGTTAAGCATCTTTCCGAGGTCGCCTACCGCTGTGTGGAAGACGTCGAGAGCCTGGAGAACTTTGTGCACCGACTGCCTCACGTTGAGAGGGATCATGCTCTGTCGGAGCGGCTCCTAGCTGTCGAGCAGACAAATACGTCACTTCGTGCGAAGGCGGAGTTCCCTTGCACTGCTGGAACCAGAAATATTTGCACTCCGTGCTCAGATTCGGTTGCTGGTTCAGCTTCTGGGTGTCCGAGCGTCTTTGGGTGCCACCATAGCGCTAACGCTTCCGCGTTCACTTTCGCCGGATCCCGGTACGGCTTAAGCAAGCCCACATGGAATACCGGGCGAATGCGCATCCTTCTCGAAAGCTTGGCCACAAAATTAAATGTCCGATAAACCGAGAACGGAGCTTTGTCTTTAGACAGCAGAGACTGCATGTGTAAAAAGGCTTTTAGCATTTTGCAAACCAGGTCTCTGACCTCGAAGCTTTCCACATTTCTTCTGCTTCTACCATCTGCATATTCTTTCTGCATGTCTTGGCTTTGAGCCATCGCATGGCGAACGTGTCGTAGACACTCAGTTTGGTAGACAGGAAGTCATCGACTTCTTTACGGACAGTGAGGGGTTGACATTAGCTAGGGTTTCGGCTATTCCTCCCCGACCAAGCCCTGAGCCATTGGATGGCGGTGTCAGAGGGAAGCAAGGATTACCAAGCCCGCTCACGTAGAACGGCGTGTAGCCGGTAGATGAATGCACTGCATTAACCAGAGCAAACTCTACGAGTGACAGCATGGCGCTCCAGCGCTTCGGTATCTCAGCGCAGACGCTGCTCAGAACGTCTTCAATGACGCGATTCACGCGCTCAGTCTGATCATCGGTCTGCAGATGGTCCGCTGTTGACATAGTCAACTTGGTGCCCTGCACTCTGAAGATTGTGGACCGAAATTTCTCAGTGAAGCGCGGGTCTCAGTCAGAAACAATTGACTCCAGGAGTCCATGCTGCCAAAAGACACGATCGCCAAACAGCGTCGCTATACCCACTTCGTCGATGGTGTCCGGCACTGCCGCAAAATGAGCCATCTTGCTCAAATGGTCCACAAAGACCTCCACACCCGTGTTGCCCGCCAAATCCTTCGGCAGGCCAAACACAAAATCCATACTCATGGACTTCCAACACCCGAAGAAATTCGGTGAACAGGTCAGCGGCGACACCGCATTCGGAGTGAATTTCCCCAATTGACACGTCTCACATGTGCGCACATATGTGCTCGTCCATTTGTACAGCCTTGGCCACCAATAGTGACGTACCGAGCTGTACGTCTTCTCACGACCGAGATGACCACTGAGTGGAGTGTCGTGGGCCTCAAGGAGGATACGGTTATATAAAATCTCATCGTGAAAAACCATAATTTGTGGCGTATCCGCCGAACCGGTGCTATAATACAGCAACCCGTTATTCAGCGACTATCGGTGTAACCGTGCGCGCAAACGCGCCGACAATTTCTTGTCCGAGTTTCCGAGCTCCTTGCCCCCGAGACCCTGTAGCAGCGCTACACACATACTATCATCCGCGTATGCGGCCTGAATCAAACCCGTCACTGACGACGTCACCGTCGTAACATGAGCAAGCTCATAGTCCGGTCTACGTGACCGCGCATCAGCCAAAGCATTTTGCTCTCCTGGCTTACACTTACTGAAGTTATATTCACCTCGAAGTTATATTCGGCAAAGAATGAAAGTCGCATGGCTACCTCTGCAGAGGTGTGGCGATTGAGTCGCAGTGCGTAGTGACGCATGATCTGCGTAAATCACAAACGGCTTTGAGTCAAGCAGATGCACTCTGACCATGACTAGTGCATACTTCATCGGAAGTTATTCCTTGTCGTGGACTGGGTATTCCTCTCCGCAGCCTCTAGCTGGCAAGATTCGAACGCGATCACCCGATCTCGCCCCTCGGCATCTGCTTGCAGCATTGCACAACCGATGGTAAAGTCTGAAGCGTCACAGATGACATAAAAATGAAGATCGGGATGTGGCAACGCCGGTATTGGTGCATGAAGGAGACTGTCTTTGACCCTGTCAACAGCCTCGTGTTCCACCACCATTCCGTATCCTTCTTAAGAAGATTCGACAATGGCCGTGTCATTTCCGCATAATTAGCGCTATACTTGTTCAAGTAGTTGGCGTGACCAAGCCACTTTCGCAAGTCTTTTTGGTTCTTTGAAAACGGCCTGTTCACAATGGCCTTGACCCTAGCAGGATCCGCTCGAAGGCCACGCATCCCAATGAGACACCCTAAAAAGGGAATTCATTCCGCGTCGAAGATGCACTTATCGGCATTAGTATACAGCTTATTAGTGCGCCTGCTCTCGAGCACCGCTCTCAAATGGACGATGAGGTTTTCCACATCCGTCCTACCGCTCCCCGCACCACTGTGGACGAAGATGTCGTCGAAGTATATTTGTGCATACGCCTGGTGGGGCCTGAACAGTTGCGTCACAAGACGATTAAATGTTGCTGGTGCATTTGATAGCCCTTGGGGCATCACCA